GGGGGGGGGGGGGGGGGGGGGGGGGGGGGGGGGGGGGGGGGGGGGGGGGAGTAGAGTGTTGAATACTTCTGCGAGGACAGCGGTGTGTGGTTGATAGAATGGATGCAAACAGTACCGGACGTTTCGAAAACTAAGTTGGTTGACAGTTTGGATGCAATGAAAATGGAAGTGTACAATAATCCCGCAGGAAAGGGTAGCTACCCTCCTGTGTCTACCGATAGAGCTACATCGCACCGTGTACCGGCACGCAAAAAATAACATGTGTCGAAAAAACTTGTCCAACGACAAAAAATCCGCACACCACACAAAACTTTGACAAATATATTAGCTCGCCCTCATCTCCTGTGCTGATGCGAGCATCCTTCGCACCGGTCTTCTCCAGAGTGGTCTCCACCGGCATCTCGTGCTGGACTGGCGTCTGGTCTATGCTGCCGAGTTCCTCGTAAACCTCCGCCTCCACAGACGCCAGCTGCTCGGAAGTCAGATCCTCCCCTTTGATGGGACTCTCGTCAGGTGCCGGCGGGTGGGGCCGAGCGTCGATCTCACCAGCGCGCTTTACGAGAGCCTCGCGCAGCTTCATCACCGTCGCCCATGGCATACTCTCGTACCCCTTCGGCAGTTTCTGGCGCACGCTGGTACGTCGGCGGATGCTGAACCCATTCCGCTTGCGGAACCGTTGGCACCAGGAGTTGAATTTGACCTTGAAAGCCAGCGCCTCCTCCGGCTTCGCGTTCGCCGGCATCCCGCCAAGGGCGTCAGGCTTCAGCTCGAGCAGCTTGTTCATCACCTCCCGATTACCACAACCGCGGTGCTGCTTGTGCTGCTCGTTGATGTATTCCACAAGGGCTTGGTCGGCGTCGACTGTCGAAGCTTTCCCTCCGCTGTGAACCTGCTTGGCCTTCGAAAGCTTGGGGTTGGCGCTGACCTTCTCCCTGAGCTGCTCCTCCTGCTTCAGCCACTCGATGATACGCTTCAGAGGCACCTAGAGAACTTCGCCGCGCCGTTTTTTCCCACCGGTTGACCGTCGCACGGGCAGATCTCCCGTGTGTAGGCCGCCGCGTTCAGTTTGAACCGGATGGGGTAGCTCCCTTTCCCTCCCACTGCTCCTGACCGCTCGATCGGGAAGGTGGGCTCTGGGTACGCGCGTTTGCCGTTGCTGTTTTTGACGGGGTCGTTGGCGGCTAGCATCTCATCGATAGCCTCGCCGGTTGCCTTCGGGTCCGCAGCGGCAGCTCCCTGATCCGCAGAGGAAGGACCGCCAGCACTAGTCTAGTCTAGCCTGTGAGGCCTGTGAGGCCTGTGAGGCGTCGGCAGGTCCCGCGCTTGCACCCTCCGACATCGTAGCCGCGCGTTGCGTGTGGTCGAGCCCGCAGCTCCGTCCCGGGCATTTTCCCGATTTTCCGCCGGTATTTCTCCGCCACGGAACTGAAACTGTTGTGGTGGCAATTCCCCGAGATTCGTGTGTGCAGCTACTAGCTTGTCTGTTGGTTGTGTTGTGATCGTGTTGAAGCAATACCGTACACGCGAAGTGCTGCTATCCCCTGTGGTTTTCAATGTTAGGATCGCACATATCGGGGTCTTGGCACAGGGTGTGCGTTCGAAAGTCGCCGTACCAGCCGCTTTGGATTTAAACAGCACCGCACAGCAGCACCGGTCGCCCCGGTGGTCTAGTGGGTAGCCTCGTAGCCTGCTAAGGGCCAGGTCATGGGTTCGAGTCCCGACAGAGTGAGGTTTTTCTCGCTTAAAAAATCCTGGTCTCCGTTGGAAGCGACGCGCTGCGAAGCTCGTTGTTAGCTTGATCGACTTCATAAGTCGCGAGGGAAGGGATTGCTGTACCCTTCTCGCGATAAAAATATCTCAGGCAGGAACCGCAGGAGGGGGTCCAACCCCCCCCCTCCTATGTGACCCCGGTTGGGTCGTCTTGCTGGTAGAAGTGGAGGATAGGGGCCAGAGGGGCAGACGACAGCGTCTAATGATGGGAGAAAAACAAACAACGTATCGGGGTATTGGCACGTTGTTTCTTAGAACCAAATTATTTAGTGGATTTCCGCACAGGTATCGCGAACTTGGCACATATCGGGGATGGGATTGCTGTACCCTTCTCGCGATAAAAATACCTCAGGCAGGAACCGCAGGAGGGGGTCCAGCCCCCCCCTCCTATGTAACCCCGGTTGGGTCGTCTAGCTAGAAGTGGAGGATAGGGGCCAGAGGGGCAGACGACAGAGTCCAATGATGGGAAAAAAAATACACCATACATATATATCGGGGTCTTCGCACACCTGTGCGAAAAAAGTCTGAAGTTCGAAACACTAAAAAAAGCGACCGCACAGTGTGCGAAGACCCCGATGATTACGGTAGTCCAGTTTCTTCCAATAAAATAAATACGGCTCACCAGCTCCATTTCCCGCTAGATTTGCCTCCACCGCGGTCCGCTTCACCGCTGAAGATTGACGCCGTAGATGCGGCTGTTGCGACGGAGGCTGCTGGGCCTGGTCGTCGCGAAGGTCTCCCTGCTGCGTTGCCATATCGTATATCCACGATTTCACCCTTGACGGATAGCTGCAGCCTTTTCCCCGTCGCCTGCTGCGGAATGGGCCATGTAGAGAAAGGAGACCAAGGATCTTTCACACGGAGCCGTAACGGACCAACCGCCGACGTCTTCAACTACGTAGTTGGCTGCACGGCGATTTTGTCAAGTCAAATACGGTATCCATACAATCGGCAATCGCTTACGTGTATGCGGAGAGCATGCGCAACAAAGCGTAGATGTTGCGTTTGTTTCTTGAGACCGTTTTGAGGCGAAGCAGCAGCATGATGTGGTCTAGATGCAGATGATGATGCCCCCAAGTCGGAAATCCTGCGCCAAATGATTTGTTGTCGGGTTCTAATCGGAATATTTGTCCCGCTCACAACCGCTCACGAGATCACCCACGAGCAGGAAGAACCAACCGACTGTAATGCCACCCACAGCATCATGACCAGTGCGCTGATGCTGTGACAAGGTTGAAACCAAGAGCATAGTCTACGCTTGATGCTGCTGCTCGGCGAGAGATTCCGCGGATTTGCTGGTGCGGCAACAAGCGGCCCTGCCCTCTTCGTGTGATGCAACCATCCATCAAGAAGCGCCCGGAAAATCACAGCAGATATGTATCTAGATGTAGATCCATGTCGATACTGCTGCTGCTGCTGTGAGCACGGCGGCAAAGAGGCGGGCTCTCACCTTCAAGAGCGTTGTTGCTGCCGCGCGTGGGCCCTCGTCCGCTGCTGTCGCGCCTAAGGAAGAAGGGGGAACCTGCTGACTCGATGGCCCCTACCAGACAGAAGGCCCGACGCAAATATGCGACATCGCGGGGCCAACGCGTATTTGGCGGCCCATCCGCTTTCAGAACTCTGCTTTATTTGAATTTTCGAATTTTCGAATTATTGTTCGGAGGCGTGTGAGGAATTTGTTCTCAGTGATGGCCATTACGCCACTTGTCGGAGTTCTCCAGCGTGTAGTCTGCACATAGATGATAAGGCGTGTTAGAGAGGAAGCAGGTGGTCTCTTCCTCTTGGCGGGCGCATATGCCACGCCGCGTATACCCCACCTTTGGCGGGCGTGCCTAACGCACCTCCAGACTGCAGACTTAACATACAACAAGGCACGACGGATTTCGAATCTTCCAACATCCCGAAGTCAATGAGCAAAGAGCAAATGAAGAACAAGGTCGCGCGATCCATCGACGTTCCACAACAATAGCCCCCGTGTTTTCCGCCTTATTTTCCCGCCTCCTCGGTATCCACACCATTTTCTAGAAGATCTTCTGCTATCGTACCACGTTTTTGTGGCGAGAACGATGACGCATGGTGCAGCATGTGAACATCGCACGCCTGACACGCTCGCACACAAATCATCCCCGTTCGACGGGCTGCGTGCGTTTGTCGGAGTTCGGTCGGTGGGGAAGCCCCATGGGCTGCATTGGTGGCGAGGTCAGTTTTTCGAAATTGAGACATGCCGGCCAGCTGCTGCCGCCGCCCGGTATCCGTTCGCTCACATCGATCATTTTTTTCATCAGTAGACTATGACCCAACGACTCCATTGATAATTGTTTCAAACCTGACAACAAGTGTTGAGTTAGGGGTGAAGTCCAGCACCTGAAGGGACACTGCTTGTACCTGCCTGATGCTGGACTTACAACCGAGCCTCTAAGGGTGCCGAGAGACAAGTGATGCCAGCTTTAGAAGGGTTGCATGCACACCGTAAAAGGCCTAGAGATGAACCCCCCCCCCCACCCTAAAGAATGTTCAAAGTGAGCTTGCTCCCCGCCCAAGCACAACGACATACTGCTGTGTAGGTACATCTCAACGACGTTAGACAATGGGTTTTCATAATCACCATGAGCCGGAGAGATGACACCGGGCGGAGAGATATGGCACCGGTCGGGAAGATGGCACCGCGGTGCGAAAGAATAACGAGTCCGGCAAGTACGCAACGTACAAGCCATGACCTACCCCCACCAACTGAAGGAAGCGATGTGTTGCTGCTTGCGTACGTCCTGGTATTCGTAGAGGAAGACCGAAACAAACGCCGGAAATAACCTGGTACCGGCGCTCCAGGTTCCGCTCGCTGCATGGAAAGCTGCTACACGAACCAGCCTACGACGCTCTGTAGTACATTCGGTACGCTGCACACGTCTGCTTGTGGGTGCCTACACTCGTAGCAATCCTCAGAGGCAAAGAGACAGCATGGGTCTGCGTGTCAACAATATCGGGCAGGCCGCTGCCTGTATTTCATTGGGCATGGCACCGGTCGGAGAGATCTCACCGGGGCGCCTTCAAAACCTAGAAGAGATTATTTATTCGCACTTCCGCACCGGCGTCGGAGAGATGCGCCGGGGTCGGAGAGATCGCACCGGGGTGCGACAAAAAACAAGAAATTGATTAAAAAATCGATCGCACCCGGTGCCATCTCTCCGACTCCTACGGAAGTCTCTTTTCTGAGTCTTGCTGCCATCGGTATTTGTGATGATGTACTACGTACAGCCGAACCGAGCAAGCCCCCACTGGCACACCAACACTTGTGTCTTGTACAAATTTGACCTGACGTTGGCGACCAGACCAAGTCACATCCCCCTCCCCCCCTCCGACATTATGCAGTAGTAGGAAATGTAAGATACCCCGACCGTCTCGTCCTCCCACCCCTCGAATCGCATCATTAGGCTATCCCACGCTGATTGTTGTTGTTGAGTGCTGGATGGAAGCACACGCCACATCAAGCTGCCGGGGGGGGGTAGGGCCATACGAAATCCACCAGAACAAAGCCTTGGTGCCGTCATTTGCGCGTCTACGACGTGTGCGATGGTATGAAGAGACGCCGGAGTTGTGAAGAGGCCCGTTCGTCAATGATGTAATGGCATCAAGACTTGTGAAACATGCCATGCGGCTACCACATGGCGGTCCACATAGACGGACTGGTGAACCAAGTTTGCTCCACACGACTCTCAACGGGCATCTGCGACAAACAACATTAACCCGACTAGCTGTGCCGACGACCACTGTTGTTGCTGCTGCCATGCAACCGTCGCATGCCGGCGACTACTACTGCTGCTGTCATGCGAGCGTCGTGTCGTCGTGACCACCGGGGGGTGGCGGCACTGCCTTCCCGTCCAACCCCACAAACTTGGTGCGGCAGGCCTCCATCCAGGCGCTACCGCTGTTGCCGCCGCTGCTACCGCTGATGCTGTTACTGCTGCTGCTGTTGCTGCTATCATGGTTGTCTGGGAGAACGTCCGAAATTGACGCCTCCTCGAGTACGAAGTGTTCCCCCGCGGCCGCCTAAGCTCGGGAGCAAGGTAAAGGGGAAGGGCGGACGGGGTTACACGCTAGCGCCACGGGTAGCGAACAGAGAAAAACGGCAAATATAAAAACAAAAGAAATGGGGCCAATAAAAGGATACGTGTGGTGATGTTTATTGGAGTAACCTGTGAAGGGGTTGGGAGGTCGCACTTCGCGGGAGAGTTTCCTCACAAGCGGAGAAGTCAACCATAAAAGACGCAGCCAACGGCAAACAACCCAACGAGAAACTGAGAGTTAACACTGCAATATTGTATGCTTACTGCAACGTCGAAGGAAGAAAAAATAAGAGAGTCGTTGCCCTAAACCCGCAACTTGCTGGACCCACGAGCACCTCTTTCCCGCTATATAGCATGTACTGGGGTACACCTGGCCAAAGGAAGACTGGAACAGCAACTCAACCACAGGAAAGTTAAGAGGGTAACACCGCGTTTTATGGCAGTACAATGCTGCAAAAAAAGCTGCATTTCTGCAACTTTTCTTGCAGCTTTGCTGATGTACGATCAGTATGGGAGCTAAAAGTTGCACGAACAGTCCTGCAACTGTTTTTTCCGGTACAAAAAGCTGCAATCTGGCCGAATATTTTTGCAGCTTTTCTCGAGTCGGTAACGAGTTGCCTCATGAATGGTATCTGGAACGGGGTGGTCCCATGGACTGTTGGGTAATGCCAAGATTTGGGGCCGTGAGGTGCCGAATGCGCCGGGAAAAAAAGTTTGTGCTGTGCACAACCGTCACAAAGGCCGCGAGCGGATAGTTCAAGCTCGATGTGTTTTCGACCGCCACGGGTTTGGTTTTCCACCGATAACTTTCCGGAGGAGGAAGCAACAGCAATAGCAAGGCCGCTCGGTGGGAGGTGCTCTCTGGTTCGTCTTTCATGCCCAAGGTTTGGTGCCGTGGGGCATCGTGCGCATCGGGAAAAAAGTTTTGATCAACCCCAAAGTGCCCACGTCAGAGATCAGTTGGTTCTAGTTCGAAGGGATTGTGTGCGCATCGTTTGGTTTTCCAGCGATAACCTTTCGAAGGAGAAGGCAACAGCAACAGCAATGCCACCCCGAGGGAGCTGGCTATACCCAGCATATTTCTGGTACCATGTTAGATGCGTTGGGGTATCGTGAGTGTGGAGAAAAAAGGTTGCAACTACCCTCTCCCGCACGCTTTAACCGGTCTTTCCGCGGTGCAATATGAAAGGCGCGTGCCTTTTCTCCGTCGCTAAAAAAAAACAAGAATCACGCCTCCGCATTTCGCCAGTCCCGTGCACAAAACTTTTCTTCGTCCCACAAAAAGCGCGCATCAAAAGTTCCATTGACAAAGTCTGCAGCTTTTCATGCAACATTGTACTGCCATGAAAAGCGGTGTAACGGAACACCCTGTGACCACGGAAATCCGTTGCTTCGAGGAGCACGGACCCGAAGCCGAAGTGAAACAAGCCACACAGCTACAGGAGCAGCAAAAACTTCCAGAGGAGAGGACCGATACCATCAAGAGGCTTGTAACTTCTACATGAGAGGGAGGGAGGAGCAATATCATCAAGAGGCTGACACAAATTTCCATGAGAGGGAGTGGAGGAGCCATACCACCAAAGAGGCTCACGCAAACTTCCACATGAAAGGGAAGGGAGGGAGCGACATCATCAAGGGGCTTCCAAAAAAATACGTGGCGTCAGGACGCTTCAATAAAAACCACGCGGCTATTTCACCGGTCGGCATGGCGCACCTTCAGTGCCGCCCACAAGTCTTCCCGCCGCCCGACGTGGTCCTTCAGAGGTGTCAAAAACGCCTTGTGGTCGCGATCTCCGCGATACTGTGGCTGCCATTCGGCCGAAAGCATTGTACAAATACAAAATGGCGTTGTGTTATTTAAGTTGGACGTGTAGGACTGAACCAAACGACGAAACACTCGGGAACGTGGCCGCAATATTCGACCGAATCGTTGAACGAAAAACAAGAAAAGGGGGTAAGACTTTCAAGTCATTTGTGGGGCTGAAGCAAAAGATGATACGCTTGGCAACGTGGCCGCAATTCGGTAGAGGGAAATACGGAGCCATCCGCACATTTGAGCAGGGTTCGTTCATCCTTTTGTTTTCTTCATGTTTTTTCTTTTCATACTCTACAATACAGCAGTGCTGGTCTGTGGGTGAGGCCGCAAGACTAAATAACTTCGGTCGACCTGACCAAGGCCGGTGAAACCGCACAATGCAGGTGGAATACTCAATTTGTCTTACATCCTGAACAGTGTTCGGGTGCCCGTGCGCGGTATTAGACCGATCACATCCCTTGGCACGATGTGGCCACTCCTGTACAAGAGTTGTCGTCTCGGCAAAAACCAAAAAATGAACTAAAAAAAGTAGATGGTATATAGCTCCGTCCCTTTCCGTGCCGATGTTGATTCGGTGTGTGTGCGACGGCTGTGGCAATGACAAAGAAGAACAAACAAGTAGCGCAGGCATGCACACCCCTTGCAGGGGGATAGGGAAGAAAAGACGGGGCGGCAATGTATAGTCATGCAGCAGACGAGATGACGTGAGTGGATGGGAGAAGTAGGAGCTGCGGGGCCAACGCAGTCTACGCGGCAAACCCGAAGCTCGCGGACGAACACGCACGACGCGTTGGACACAAATGGCCTTTCACTCGCGTCGCGCAACACACCTGCGAGGGTGCCTGCCACACCAACAAAACTTCGTCGTCCCAGCAAAAAAAAAAAAGGCAATACACACTCCATCCACAAATTCTACACGCGCCATGTTAATGTGTGTGAAAGTCCCCTACTCGACCCTCACCCGCTTTTCCGGCATCTGCAGGTACAGCATGTTGGTGGGGTCAAAGTCCCACAGGAAGGAAGTGTGGTGCAGCCACCGCCCCTTTGTGATGGCCTGCGCGTTGCCGCCGAACTGTTGCGCGCGCGCACGCAAAGCAGATGGGCGAACGAGAGCAGCGACGACATCATGGAACCGGCCGTAAGAGTGCAGTATTATTCAAGAAACTTACCGAGCAAACCCTTGGGAAACTGGGTCATCCACGCACGCGCTGTGTGGCTGTGGTGGTCATCGCATGGCGAGGAGGGTGAGATGCGCCAAGCCCTCCCACCTTGAGGTCGTCGAACACGTAATCGTTCTCCCGTAAGCCCAGCTCCAGCTCCGGCTTGATGACCACGCTCCGGAACGCCGGGCCGTAAATGCCTCTGTCCACGACAAACAACAGCAATCAAAGTCCGTTCGGTGGGAGGTTGGAGACAGGTACCGAATTATCGAAGTGTACGACACAAGAAAATCACACCCACAGAAGTAAACCTCTCCCCCCCCCCGGCCTGGTCCGGTGTGTACCCAGCGTGCTCCGTCCCGACTTTGCAGGGATGCGAGGTCAACGGTCTAACCGCTAAGGCATGCAAAACAGACGAGTACGCCTCCCCCCCCACCCCGTACACAATGTCACACCCAGTGCTATACTCCAGTATGGTTTTTACCGCTTAACACAATCCCAAAACCAATAGAAAAAACTCAAATCCAAGAGATACGGGGCGACACGAGATACTACACACGATGCAAGATAACATACACCCGGTGAAGAAACTAAAATGCTAGACAGCACAGTATCACCGGGGGAGTTTCTCTGATGGCGTAAACGGTAGTCGTCGTAGTCGTCATGTCCGAGCAACGGGTAACCAACACAAACCAGCTCTTGCTCCACACCCAATCCCACCACCTGGTGGTAACCTTGGGCATGCACAGAACCGGGGGGCGACTACGTGGGCCACAGCCCTCGTGTCGGCGAGAGACCCGCGTCGCAAGAGGTGGTGCGGTCCAAACAGAACAGCGCCGCATCGATTTCTTCGCGCGAGCACAAAGCCCCTTCCCAGAAGGCCAACAAACATAAAACGTTTTGTGCTTTTTTCTCCCCGGAGGCCATATCCTTGCTTGATACTGGTGTTGTCGGGTTGTAAAAGTGTCTGAAGTCCTGCCAGTGGTCGTTGGAGGTAGGTCTCAAGCACGTGTGTATGGGTGTTTCACTTCCCTGACGGAGTTTTGATTCGACACACGAAAAAAAAAATAAGCTGTTAGTACACCAGCCAATCTCAAATGGACATGATCGAAACACAAACGCGGCGTTATCCGTTTTTCCATTGGTGCCGTCCGCGTCATATCTCGACCCCCCCCCCCCCCCCCCCCCCCCCCCCCCCCCCCCCCCCCCCCCCCCCCCCCCCCCCCCCCCCCCCCCCCCCCCCCC